TGTGAGGACATTTTTTTACATTTACCAATGCTTGTGTTTTTAGTTCTATTTTTTTCAACAGTCAGATTTCTTGCTTTTGGTTGGTGGTCTAGCCATGATTTATCCTTGTGCAGGTCCTCTACTGAACCTATTTCCTGATCTATCTAAATAAATCACTGGTGTTTTATATACATGCACAGTTTATTTTAAAATTATTACTGATCGTTGGTTTTGTATTGCTAGGCTATCTTGTGGCTGTTGTAGTAGAATAGTAGGAGTTCACATCTTTTAACTGTGTGTTGCATATACTATACAATAAATATGTGTGTAGTATCCATTTCTTGATTGCACATTCATAAGTAGTAAATTGCACACTTAAATTACTGCAATTATGGTGTTTAACATATGTAATATCCAGTCTTTTAACTGTATGTTCCATTCTTTTTTGTTCATTTCAGATTCAGATACTAGTTCTGATTTACAGTGAGTCGTTTGATAACTTGATTAGTTTTTTTTATGGTACTGAACTTCCATCAGAGTACGGTTCTCTGTTGAGCCTCAAAAAACCCCCAGAATTTTGGTAGTATAGTGTCATGTCTAAATTTGAAGCGTGGGCCTGGTGCAAGCGGTAGAGCCTTACTGCCTGTGACCGAAAGATCCCGGATTCGAGTCGCGGTCTCCTCGTATTGCACAAGCGAGGGTAAGGCTTGCCACTGACACCTTTCTCCAGACCCCACAGAGTGGGAGCTCTCTGCACTGGGTACACCCTTTAGTGTCATGCCTAAATTTGGTCTCTTTGCCAACTAGTTTAATACATACAATTGGAGAACAAAAGTTTATTGTTTTAGTATTACTTTCCTAGATGATTCTGCTGATATGTGGTGTTATTAGATGTTGCATTTATTTTTTTAATTAATTCTGCTGCATTGCTACGTTGTCTGATCAATTTTAGTTCTGCTCGGCCTTTTTTCCCTTTTTCCATTGTGAAATTTCCATCACATACAACAATCTCTAACGAGTTTTAACTAATAATCTTGTTCAAGGTTTGTGGGCTGTCACCCTACTTCAGTGTCCGTAGTGAGAGTGTCATTGGTGGAATTGATGTCTGCTGGTCCAAATTTTAGGCAAATTTTGGCAATATTTTTTAAATTTCTGCCATCTAGTTTTTATGAAAAGAACACTTGGCAAAGTGGTGTTCAGTTTGACAACTAGGATTTTTTTTTAATTTTAATAGTTTTTGTAAACTAATTTTAAATCTAACATTGTTTAATTTTTTTTCAAATCTAACACTTTTGGCCGCACCTATTGCCATGGCGCGGCGAAATGACTGTGCCGCGCCATGTATGGTGGCGCGGCGAGAGGGCTGACATGGTGTCGACCAGAACGCTGACCGGTGATGTGGCAGAGTCTGCCGCACCACCGATCTTGGCGCGGCAACGACCACGGCGTGGCAGTCCCCCGCATGCGTGACCCACTTCCACATGCGTAGTCAAGCGTCCACGCCCCGACAGCCTATTGCATGCGCGCGCCCATGGCACGACAGGCCTGCAGCCTACTGCATGCACTGAAGCCTGTGTTCAAGTGGCACGGAAACCAATAAAACATAAATATTTTATTTAAATTGGTATAACTTTTAAATGATGTATCCATTTTCAATTCCGTTTGCACCGAAATGTTCTACATGACGAGGTGAACAAAATTAGACCCCACGTGCCTATGTTTTGAAGAATTTAATTTTAGTAGCAATTTATGCGTAAAAATATGCTAGGTGATTTATGAAAAAGTTGTTACCATGAAATACTAAATTTGCTATTCAAAAATATACTAAAGTTTTTACATGATATGAGTATGCGCATCGATTGTTGCCATGAGAATATATTATATATTATTTACATAAAGATACTCACCCCTAAAAAAGTGTAACGGACCCAAAAACAAAACAATCTGGAAGGGGCAAATTATTAAAATAAACATTGCATAAGCTGTCAATTAGGGGGACAAATTATTATACAACACATTACAAAAATCCAGGAAACATGACTCGCTGCCAACTTGGGGCATTTATTAAAAAGTGAGGGTAGCGATACAAAATAAGGCAAACTGTAATCTTGGGGCAAATTATTAGAACAAGCATTTGCATAAGCTGCCAACCAAAGGAGCAAGTTATTATAAAACCCATTTATAAGCCAGAAAACATGACCAACAGTCAGTTGGAGGGACATTTATTAACAAGACAAGAGTAGCAACCCAAATAATACAAGTTGCACCCAGGGCAAATTATTAGAAGAAGCATCGCATAAGGTGCCAACTTTATGGGTAAGCTATTATACAACTAATAGGTAGGATTTAGGAATACATTTGAACCTAAAAGGCAGACTAAAAACAGAAACTAAAAATACTTGACTTAAAACTGAAACTAAAAAAATGAAAAAAATGACTGAAAACTAAAAATAAATAAACATTGAAAAAATATGTAACTAAAAATAAAAGAAACAATGAAAAAATAAAATAATGAAACTAAAAAAATTATACACAATAAAAAAATGAAACATAAAACTGAAACTAGCAACGAGAAAAATAAAACTGAAATTAAAATTGAGACTAAAAGGAAAATAAAAACTAAAAAAATGACACTCGTAACTCATTAAACTGAAAGAAAAACTAAAAAATAAAACTAATAACTCATTAAAATAAAAGGAAAATTGAAAAAATAAAACTCATAACTCATTAACTAATTAAAAGAATGACCGTGTGTATGGCAAGTTTAATTTCAAAGCATGTAGCAAGTTATATTTTGAGCAAGTGACAAGTTATTTTGATTACCACTATATAAAAAAGTAGCTACTATATGTACAAGCAGTGAAAAGGCTACCCTTCTTCTGATTGCTTTTGCATTCTAGGATGACAGTGGGATCAGAGTTGAAGAAGTCATGTTTTTTTTTCTTTGGCTACTATCCGACATACCACATTGGCCTCCACATAATTTTCAGTTTTTCATTATTTTTTATTAAGCAAACAGTAACCACCAAATAATATATAATATATTCTCATGGCAACAATCTATGAGCATACCCATATCATGTAAAAACTTTAGTATATTTTTGAATAGCAAATTTAGTATTTCATGGTAACAACTTTTTCATAAATCACCTAGCACATTTTTACGCATAAATTGCTACTAAAATAAAATTCTTTAAAACATAGGCACGTGGGGTCTAGTTTTGTTCGCCTCGTCACGTAGAACATTTCGGTGCAAACGGAATAAAAAATGAATACATCATTGAAAAGTTATACCAATTTAAATAAAATATTTATGTTTTATTGGTTTTCGTGCCGCTTGAACACAGGCTTCGGTGCATGCAATAGGCTACAGGCCTGTCGTGCCGCGGGCGCGCGCATGCAATAGGCTGTCGGGGCGCGGAGGCTTGACTACGCATGTGGAAGTGGGTCACGCGTGCGGGGGACTACCGCGCCGTGGTCGTTGGCGCAGCACTGCCGCATCAAGATCGATGGCGCGGCAGACCCTGCCACGTTACCGGTCAGCGTCCTGGCCGTCGCCACGTCAGCCCTCTCGCCGCGTCACCATGCATGACGCGGCACAGGTATTTCGTCGCGCCATGGCAATAGGCGCGGCCAAAAGTGTTAGATTTGGAAGAAGAAAAAATTAAACAGTGTTTGATTTAAAATTAGTTTACAAAAAATATTAAAATTAAAAAAAATTACATTTTCATTACTTGAATCATAACGCATTACTGTTTCTGCCGAGCTAAACTAGAGCCTTACTGAATTACTGTCCAGGTCCATATCTTCCCTAGTGTAAGTAACATGTTTGTTTGATTTCCCTAGGCCCGACGTGGTCCAGGAGGTGTTCCTCTAGATGGCAGAGGACCACCTTTTCCTGGCCGCTGCTATAACTGTGGAATGGATGGGCATTGGGTTCGTGATTGCAAAGCTGGTGACTGAGAGATAGGTTGTGGAGAACTGAGCCATATAGAAAGAAACTGCAAGAACCGAGCACCGCAGTTATGTAAATTGCAATCAATAATTATGTAAATTGCAAATATCGAACACCGCAAGTATAGTTCTGAGCGTACGCAAGTATCAAACGCTCTGTTGGATTATATGTGCTTTGGAGCTTTGTCCTCTAAAGCCCAAACCCATTAACACCACACGGCACAGCTTGCTTACCTTCTCGAACTGCGTGTCCTTGTCCATTAGAGTTTCTCCGTGGCTCTGTAGCAAGGACAGGGTACAAGGCCGATTTCATCCAGGTCAAGCTTCGACGTGATTTTTTTTTTGTACTAACAGATTATGTTCTTTTATAGAAAAAATTATTTCTTGTAATTTGTGCTAACACATCTTTTTCTTTATTTATTAGATTTGTGCGGCACACATCTTATTTTTGTTGTTGTCCTTTTATAGAAAAAAGTTGTTTCTTGTGATTTATGTTAACACACATTTTCTTTTAGTTTATTGTGATTTGTGCCAGCAGAAACCATATTTTTGTCCTTGTCCTTTCATAGAAAAAAATTATTTCTTGTGATTTGTACTAACACAATTTTTCCTTTGTTTATTGTGATTTGTGCCGCCCAAAATAAATTTTTGTCATTATCCTTTCATAGAAAAAAGTTGTTTGTTGTGATTTGTGATAGCACACACAACATCTTTGTTACTTGTGCCTCATTTTTGTCCTTCAACTTTCATAGAAAAAAATGTTTCTTGTGATTTATGCTAACACATCTTTGAACTTTGTTTATTGTGATTTGTGTCAACACCTAGTTTTTTTCTTTGTTTATATGTGTAATTAGTTTTGTAATTAGTCTATGTTTAATACTTCTAATTGAGGTTAAACTTTATCCCAAAGGAAATAAACACCCTCCTAGTGACATGCGTGTCCGTCAGTGTCCTATTAGCATGACCCGACCATATGATATTTATTTCTGAGAAATTAGTTTCTGTTCTTGACTTTTTGTAAATCCTGAATGCAGGGAGTTGTTTACTGGTAACCTCCTGAGTCAGCTATGGATAAGATCGAAAAAATCATTAGGGAACCAACAGTTAGTAGGTATGGTTCTGATGATGGACTTCCTGAGCTTCGAGAAGCACTTCTCGAAAAGGTAACTTCTTTTTCTCATAGAATATATAATATATTTTGCCCATACACTGACTAAGCAGGCCATGCTCTTGAGTGTTACCACATTGCCATGCCTTTGCCATTGGGGACTAGGGATCCTGCTTCTAACCCACAACAACAACAACATAGTCTTTCAGTCCCAACCTCCTGAGCTTCTAACCCACTACCCCGTAACCAAATTTTAATAGAGATATTTGATCTTAACTCACAGTCGCATCAGCAATCTCAAGTGATCGATGCATTGTTTCAGAAATTAATTGTCAAAACAAAGGTTCCAAAAAATCTTTTTGTTCTCAGAGTTACATTCCTAGGAAGCATCTAATTTTCTAAATATAGGCAGAGTGTGTCATAAAACTCTCTATTCATCAACTGAGAAATGGGAACAATATTCATTATTGTGACTCCTCTGGAAATTCAGAAGAGAAAATCATGGTGGTGCTAAGAGTTGCAAAGTCTCTCTGCCATGTTGTTTGTCTAACAGTTGAGATGAAATCCTGAGATGATTTTGGTGCTCTAACCATTAGCCTAAGAGCTCCAAATCGCACAGTTATCTTTAGAATTTGTTCCACCATTTTGTCACCTATTGGGCTAAGATGTTTATTGCTGTTTGGACCACCAATGTGTTAAAATTAGTACTGCATTGCAAGCATCTTGTATATCTTTCCTGATGTCTACTGCATGTATTTTTGGCAGCTTCGCAGAGAGAATAAGCTTACCAAGTCATCAGTCATGGTCACTGCTGGTGCAAATCAGGTAAAAACTTACTTTCCTATTTTGCCTTGTAAAGTTTTCAAACTGAGCCTTATGTTTCCCAATTTACTTCTGTTCATTACTTCTTTGGGAGCACACTCTTCCTTTCCTGTTTCACTGCTAGACCTTGAACTTGTCTTACAATCTGGTCTTTTGTTACATTTATTTTTTCAGGCTTTTGTGAACTTGGTCCTCACTCTTTGTGATGCTGGTGATTCTGTTGTCATGTTTGCACCATATTATTTCAATGCCTACATGTCATTCTAGATGACAGGTGTTACTGACATATTAGTTGGTGGTTGCGATCCCAAGACACTTCATCCTGATGTTGGTACGATGATTCTCTTCTTCTTCTTCCTGTTTCATTGGAAAAATTGGTGACATGTCTTATATCAAGAGTCTGTTGTAAGAAATTTGTTGTACTTAATGCTGGAGCATCTGCTTCATTGGCACATGTTCAATTTCCCTTATAAGTCTACATTATCTTTTAGCTGATGAGAAGAATATGCTTTTGTAAAATGCAACACGTCTAGTATAAGAAAGTATGCATTGGCCGTAGTTGATAATATTTCATTTTGGAAGCATACATTACAATTATGTAATTGCAGATTGTTACTGTTGTGAATCCGGGGAACCCCTCTGGAGCTTTTATTCCCAGGTCTATGCTTGAGGTAATCTCTCTCAACAAATACTTGTGTTTGGAATCACAATCCAATATTTTATAATATTGCATTGTCATTCCAGGGAATTTCATATCTGTGCAAAAATGCTGGTCCATGGCTTGTGGTTGACAATACCTATGAGTAAGTCAATACTGTAAAGTGATAACTTTTCACAAGCAATTATATAATCTTTTGTGATATCTGTTAGAGAGAACTGAGAACAGCCGTGAATTATGGTTGTAGTCAAAAGGGACAGGTCATATAAGCCATTAGAACTCTACTACTCCCTCCTCTTGAATCTTTGTCCAGATGAAAGCCACTCTGATGGCGTACACAGATAGGATTTCTAGAATACATCTTAGCTGTTTCCACCTGCTGCTCTGTGTTACTGTAATCTAGTAATACTGAAACATCAAGTAATTTCTTCTGAGTTTTGTGGCTAAATTAGTAACTATAATTACTAGGGGCTTTGAGGCAATCATTTAGATGGAAGCCTCTCTCCCGATATGTGCCAGCTGACTGGCCTTTGGTACTTGTAACTTGCCTAGTTTGCTGCAAGTTAGTTGTGCTTTTTCTGTTAATTGTGATTTGTGTTTTTAGCAGTATGACTAGAAAATGCAGGACTTAGTGTAAGTCCTTGCATCAATTTGTTACTTAGGCACTTTGATGCTTGGTTTAGTTCTTCACTTGTGCTATAGCTTTTGGTTTACTTAACTTCTGTACCATTCTTGCAATGTACAGAACTGAATACTTCAATTTCTATGATGAAGTTTGTGGAAGTTTTGACAACATGGGCTACAATAGAAGGGTACAAGAAGAACTAACCGCTGAACTGAGAAGATGCACCTAAGATGATTATAAGTAGTAAACTGCAGCAGGGTTCTCATGCATGAGCTAGTTTTTGTAATTATATACATATTCAGTATAATTGCATTAATGACAAGTAGTAGTTACAGTGTTTGAAATGTGTAATTTTCATATTTATGTTCTGAAATTTTCCAGGATCATATTTTTTTCGCTGATCTTCTTTTCCTCTCTTGTTGTGTTTTTTCTGTACAATTTTTTACTGATTTTCTTCTCTTTCTTCACGCATGTTATCTAGATCCGGAATTGATTGATGTTTGTAGGGTGCAGTGGCAGATTTGTTATTTTTTCATTTTGCTTGTACGTTTGTTTTTTTGGGCCGATTGTTGCATTTTAGCCCAAATGAGCAGCAACTTCAGTTAGCCGGTTTTGGTTCATGCGCCCGTTAAGGTTTGGGCGGGCCCCGTAAGTGGCTGGGTGGGTTCATGGGTTCATTCGCGGACCCGTTATTGGTGTGGGGTTGACAGAAGCAGCTGCAGACAGCCTGGCCGATGGATATAGATCTGGTCGTCGCCTGAAAACATTGTATTTTTCAGGCACATGAAATATAGCGTCTCCGGAATGATTGTCTTGGGCAGCCACTTGTAATATTTATAGGGTTATTGCACATTCTAAAAATGCCTCATACATAAAAGATTCAAACTTAGCTAATTCACGCTAAAATGAAATAATAAAAAATATGACAAATTGCTAATCACCGTATTTGGGCCATAAATTAAAAGAAGCCATATAAACCATTGTGGCACAATTTTTAGTTGAGTTGTTCTCTTCAAGCTTCTTGCGCAAATGGTTTCATTGAAAAATTTGCTTTGCCTATAGGGTTGCAGTGTTAGCTAGTGCTCCTGATGAGAACGGGTTCTCGATCTTCTGTCAGGTAAAGGTAACTATCGATTTGGTGGAGATGCAATACACCGATCCGACTTTAGATTAAAAGACCCAAACCCTGCAATCTTATGATCACGTCCCTTATGGTTATCAACCATGTCATGATCTAGTTGACCTCTGTTGGTTTATCTGCCAATTCAGTTGCCATGACAACGACATTGGCATATGGTGTATTGTAGACCTTGTGACCAGCAACTTCCATGAAGTCAGGTTCTAGATTGCGAGAGACTAAGTCAAGCCTGCGCTCGCGATCCCAATTTGCATTACTTTGGCTTCGTCCCCGAGCGATGCGATCTTGCATGGCTTCGTCTGCAAGCTGCCTGCGCTACAATTCATCTTCGTAGTCCTTGTAGGCGGTTTGGTAACACAAGAGGGCTTCCTTGTGATCAAGAACTTTATTGATTACATCCTGGGCAGATGTGATGTCCACGATGGCCGCAGCTGCATTGTCGAAGTCTTTGATCAAGTCCTCGTGCACGTCGGGGTCGTCGGCCATCGGGAAGCCTGGCTCCATGGTGCGGAGCTCATGCCCGGTCTGGACCTGCGCCGCGGCTAGGGCCACTGCTGCCCCACGGCGGACACTGTGGAGGGCGATCTCCTGGAGGCGCGCCGGGACGTCGTGCAGGCGGTTGATGAGTAAGGGGCCACGGGCGTTGACGTCCGCCGTAGCCATGTTCGCCGCCAGTTGGAGGTTCTCGAACTGCACCGTCAGGGCTAGCAATCACAGAAACAAAGAAAATATCAAGTCAAAGGTAGAGAAAATAAGAACAGAGGTTTTCTTGGAATCCATCTTACCCACCACCATGGCGTCGGACTCAGCCAACCGCGCCCGGCGGCGTTGGTCTCTTCCTCGGCGAGGAGGAGGGCGGCTTGAGAGGCTTCGAGGCGAATCTCAAGTTGACCGTTCTCCTGAGTTGCCTCGGAGTAACGGTCCTTGGTTGCCCTCCATTCTTGGAGCAAGCACCGGGCGCCGTCGCCGTTGTAGGAGTCGAAGGAGTCTGACGACGAGTCCAGCGCGGGGGCGGCAGCAGACTCAACATTAGAGGGCTCACCGGCCCTGGGAGGAGGAGGAAGCCTGTTGTTCAAAACAAACCTGCAGACACATCAGACTATAATATGTTAACAGGAGCAGGAGTCATTTGGTCCTACCTCATGCGGCGGAATCGCTGGCTCACCGGCATCTCCTCCTCCGGGAGATTTTATGCTGCACGCTTGCCACGGTTATCTTCATCGGCCATGGGTGCTGTTTTAGATCTTGAAAGTAAAGTCAGAAACTGCTACAGGGTTTGTGAAGATGAAAAGGCACAAGAGAATGAGAGCAGTTGCAAATGTAGATGTGTTTGAGGTCGAAGCCCTTGGCTGGTATTTATAGCCACGAAGGCGAGACGGTAGATATCTTGGGACGTGTGAAAGTAACCCTAATTAATGGAAGGGGAAGCGCCACTTCACCAATACCAAAGGGAACGCGATGTTGATAACTGAGAAGGGATTCGAAGGGTTTTGTGATGAAAGCCATTTTTAGATTCAGTTAAGTCAAAGTAAAGTCAGAAATCGAAAATCGGCTAATTCAAATCGACTCTTCTAGCCGAACAAAAATACAACTATCATCAAGTTTATGTGCTATAGATATTGGAGTATAAATTACAAGTTAAGAACATCATGGATTGCTTGTAGTGCTTTTAGCCGAATAGCACCAACTTCTGCAATATGTTGTTTATCTTCTTCGGCTGATCCAGGAATGCTCTCAAGACTGCTGCGAATAGCTTTACCTTCTTTGACCTTGATCAACATTTCTTGCTTCTTCTGTCTAATAGCATTGGGGATCTGAGTCCAGTTGGATTCATGATGTTCGATGGTGGCCTTCACATTTTTCAGTTCTTTTTCAAGTTTAGCACGCCTAATTCTTAGTTGATTTAGTTCTGGTTCAATTTTGGAAGAAGAATTCTTTAGATTGTCGATCAGTTATGCAATTCTTTGGCTTCTTGCTGGTTAGAGTTCTTCTTAGCCATCAAAGCTTCATGGCCCGTCAGGTTTCTTTGAGCATTTTTCACCTTGGGAGCTTGATCTTCGATGTTGGACAAAAGTGTCAAGGTGTCAGTAAGATTTGGGGGCAGATCCTTCTTAATGGTTAAAAAGATTCTTCTCATTAGATCTGCATCTTGGACCAAATCAGCTATGTTCCTCTCGAGTATTGGCAGCATGTCTTTTAGCCGATTTTTGGTCTCGTCTTATAAGATTTCTTGAGAAAAGATGGTTGATGAGCTAATCTCACTTTCATCTATGTATTCTTCAAAGTTGAAGGAGTAGCTCAGAGCTAGAGAACTTAGTGTCTACATGTGAACAAAGGAGTTTTATTAGGAATGGTAGATAAGTTGACAATGAGATGAATGGTGAGGAGGATACGGTACCTTTTTTGGAAGAAGCTCTTGCTGAGGAGAAGGAACAGTCGATGATGTGCCAACATCTTTTTTAACATTTGGTTGAATCAGCTCTGGACTTTCGATGCTAGTGTCTGCAAGTATCAAGAAGTTTTTAGGTTTATATTTGTTATAGAAGGACAAGAATGAGCATATGAATTTCTTACCATCGACTGTTTGCTGAGTTGGAGAATCAACGATTTGGGTATCAGCAACAACAGTCATATTCAAATGTTGGATTGTTAGACCTTTGCTCTTATGTAGATGTTTTCTCAGGTGGTATCTGATAAAGGAGGCTGATCAGAGAAGAGTAAGGATTACATAAGATTAAAAGGCTTGAGGAGATACTTTGGTAGTATCAGGAGGTGAAGTAGAGAGGTTCTCATCTTCTGCTATTGGGTCTGTCAGAAGCGTTGGTTATTTTAGTTGTAATCAGCTCCTTAGGAGGATTAGCCGATGGGAGGTTGGTAGGCGCTGATTCAAATGCTTGGGACAACAATTCGGCACCCAAGGCAGATTGAAATGCAATAGTCGATGGCTGCAAGAAAAGAATTGAATTAGAAGTTGGATATCATCTTAAGAGGGAAGATAAGTTAAGTTACCTAGCAATTGATGATTTTGTTCTACGAAGTCTCTTCCTAGTTGTGGTTTTCTGAGTTACACCTTGGGTTGTCTTGTGTTTTGAAGACTGATATGTGAGTCTTGTTGAGGCAACTGGGGTTTTCATCAACTTTTTCAGAGTAGGTGCAGTTGATCCCATTCTTGAGGCTGGACATGGTGGATAATATTCTATGGGATGCCCTTTCCTATCCACGCCTGGTGGATCAAATTCGGTATCCTGCAAAAGAATTTGTTAGATGAATTAATAGGAGAATTTCTTGGATAATCCTTTTGAAAGGAAGAAGTAGTAAATTACCTCACTATCAGAAGCAAATTCTTCATCAAGGGCTAAACATTTGGGATGGATTGGACTGCAAAAGAGGTGAGAGTGTCATTTTTGCCACCAGGAATCAAACAAATTTGAGGAGAAGGTAGCTCTTGTCCATTCATGCAGGCAAAAAAAGGAAGGTATGATCCTAGTTGAAAAACTCTAGAAGCTTCTATTATCTCACTGATACCTTCTCTTGGCTTCATAATGTTCCTAAAGAATAGCCGAGGAGGTAGTTGACCAAGGCCAAATTGATGGGCCACAAAAGAAGGATTATAGAATTCATAACTTGAAAGGTTATCTGGGAGAAAAGAACCAGTGGCCATTTTGCCACGGCCATGGCGAAATTCAGCTGGCAGTGCACAGGGTTTGATAATACAACTAAAAATTGCAGCAGCTATTTCATCTAAGCAACCTGTTTCAAACCGAAATTTGACTGGTAGAACTAGTTCATTGTCTTTATTTTCATCATAAGGCAGCCAAGTCAAGATGTTTGCATCAAACCCTTTGAATTTTTTTTGAAAAGGTGGCCTACATCAACATCAATTGTTATGGCTGAAGCAGCTTCACCATAATTCATACACTGTCGAGTTCTTTATTCTTTTCCTTTATAATCTTCAGCAAAGTTGGAAGAAGGGAAGCTCAGATTTCTGAGATTGGGTCTTACAATTTTATGCATGTACAAATTCAGCCACAATTGTATTAACCACCAAGGGCCACTGATTATATGCACTGGTTCATCTTTCAGTAACTGAA